GTTCATTGGAACATTATCCCAATTACATTTTACTTTCTCAGTAAATATCACTTCAAAGGTTGAAGATCAGATATGCACACATGTTTTTGACTTTCACTTCAATTTCTGATTAGTTGAATAATTATGAATAATTTTGAAAAAATGTGAATATAACTCCATACATACTCGTTGAGGTTCATCAAGCCATTTTACAGGTCAACAGTGATATCAGTTGTCAAAGCAGGTGTTAGAAAATAAAATCAGCATTTCTATGAAGGTTATCTGTAGAGAGGGAAGCAGGAAGAGCTTTAAATGTCCTTGGAAATGACTTCTCTGTTTACCAACTCCAGGAGATGAAGAGGCTGCCTAAACCAGCAACCTGTGAAACCTCAGACTGGACCTTTGTCCAGCTTCTGTTAAGTTCCTCTTCTCTCCTAAAAAATTATTTTTTGGGGGGGTATTTACTAGAGATGCATCTGTATGCAGTCAGACTATTTGATTTGTATGAGACGTTGTTCCGGCTACATTCAGCCACTAAATTTCCTTTTAGTTCTCTTTTCTTTCATGTTTTCCCTCACAGTTAAATATAACCGTTGAAGTCGGTTCTACCTTACAGTTCCATGTTGAAACTGCTGAGTGTTTGTGGTGAAGTGTTTTTATGGCGTGGGCCTTACTTTTGTCCTCCAGCTTGACTTCAAACTGGTTCTTATTCTGCTGACTGTCTGTCCGTCCCTCTGTGGCGCTGTTCGTCTGAAGAAGTTCCTCACATTCTGGTGCTCTGCATTTGTACTGTAACCGAACGTTTACCCTATTTCAGGCATAAAACTGGCTCCATCCATCCTCCAGAGCAGCAGCCAGGGAAACACACTGAATTCAAATTCCTTCATTCAAACATGTGGTCTGAAAGCACAACATATACAATAGTTAAGGCTGGACCTGCAGTGACTGTTCTCTTAGCAAGTGCAACCATTACTGTTTTGGTTAGAAGAAGCTACGCTCTCAGTGCAAAAGAAGATATGACCAGAGGTGAAAAAAAAACATTGATAAATGCGTATAATTCTTGCCCCACACCCTAAGCAACATTCAGTACAGGGTTAGAAAAGCACACACCCTCTTGAAACCAGTTTCCCAGCTGTTGATAAAAAAAATCCCAGTGATGCCAAATGACTTCCTTCACTGTTTGTTGTAGCACAAAAAAAAAAAAAACATTTAATCAATGTTTATTCCAAAAAATATGACCTGCATTACATCATACGGCTCATTTAAGATGGCTCAAGGTTTTGCTGTGATGTTCAGCAGAAAATGGTACGATTCAAGAGTCGACTGTGTCATTTTAACATGAAGGTGTGGCCCATTCCCTAAGTGCATGCCTACTCCACCGAGTCATCCATCATTGCTACACTGCAAAAACAATCTAGAAATAAGTACAAATTTCCCTTTATTACCCTTAATTTCAGTAGGTAAATAAGATGATTTGCCAATGGAATTAGTATTTTTACAGTTAACATAAGATAATCAGATAAAATGCACTTGAAATAAGACAATGCATTTGTTTTTTCTTATTTCAAATGTAAATGGGTTTGTTCCATTGACAAAGTGTCTCACTTAGCTCCTCAATTCAAGACAAATGCACTTACCGGTATATTATGAAAAAAAGACTTCAGATTTCATTTCTTAGATTTTAGATTCCTTTTTCTTTTGCAGCGTAGGTCAGTTTGTAAACGTCTTAAAGCAAGATTAGAACCAGCATTTACATTTAACCATTTTGTAAGAGCTCATTCCATGTTAGCAGTCAGGTTTGAGATTTCCCTGTTTATGTCTTAGCATCAGTTTCTGTGCCTAAGACTTAACCTTATGCATGACCTCAAATCCAGCACCATCATTCCTCCTGCTAAAATCAACTGTTACTGTATATCTATCCAGACCCCCCCACAAACAACTGCTTTGATCCTTTTATAAACTCTGAGCTTTTTGTAAGCCGATGTGAAAACCCTCTGTAGCTTCACCCATATTTCCCCGCTCCATGATCATGTATGAGGATTTTTTTGAGAGAAGGCTCTCCATGTATGTTGAGAGGGAAGTTGTGGGCTTTTAAACTCACACTGATCATTTTAGAAATGTAAACATTTTATATGAACCAGTATTTCCTCTTCTTTTTTTTTTTCCCAACACTGAAAAAAACCTTTGAGGTGCTACAAAACGACCAGTTACTGCTTTGTCACGTAGGATCTAGACATCTCTCCATTCTTACTACTACAGTCAATACGAGGTTTATTTTAACAGGCAGTTTAATATTAGATCACCTCCTTAACCAGACAATAAAGCATGTAACTTGAGTTCATCAGTTCTCTTCAGCTGTAATATTGCATTAAAGGGTTGTAGAAATGAAAAGTGGAATTGATTTAAAAAAAAAAAAAACTGAATTCCATAGTTAATTTATTCTTTTTTCTATTAAGAATTTGTATAGTAACTTTACATTTTGCAAAACTGTGTTGGAAATTAATGAATTTTCAAGATAAGAAGCAGTGGTGGTTCTTAAGAGTAAGAAAATAAATTATTGATGAATGTTCTCAATGTGACGCTTCTGTGTGGTTTTTTTTTCTTATGTCAGTTAAGAAGAACTGCATGCCCTTCAGATAAGAGGTCACAATGTCACACTTATCAAAGGGAATCCTGACCTGAAGTCCCTCCGCTCCACCAGACACACTCTCTCTGATGTCACCACATCCAGGCTGCAGTCACTTCCCCCTGACAGGATTTCCTTGTGAGTCAGAGGAAGAAAGCTGTGACTCTGCAGACCACGAGGCTAAACTTTCTCCCTCAGTTCACCTTCATGTAGCTTCTTTGCTTTAATCCCAACTACATATTAACATTAAGGCTACTATAGAACACTGTTGTTCATTTTCCACAAAGTGAAAAGCTCAGTCAGATTGATTATTTACCGATTCTGATGATCCTCAACTGAAAATAAAGCTGAAATCAGAGGCTTAAATAAAAAATAAAAAAATGAATCAATTTTTGTCTCATCAGGCCTGTTAATGTTCTTAGTGAGAAAAAAAGCTAATTGTTTAAAGAACGTTTTAATTACGTTCACCTTAGTTCGCTTAACCAAAGATATTTACACAAAGACTACTTTTTGGAAACACGCCCCATGGTCTGCTGGGCACTGCTTTGGACAAATGATCAACATGATCTTACGGCTGGAGAAGAAAATAAAATCTTAGAAGCCTGTTGTCAGGTTTGCAAGATAGGCAGAAATGTTAAACACATATATCAAGACGTTAGTGGGTAAATTAAAGCTTGGGAACTAATCGGTATTCAACTGGACAGACCATACTGTAAGCAAAACTCTGACAGAGTGACCATCACAAAGCCTTGATCTTTGACCCACTTAAAGATTCTGTGTTTCATATTTTAGATAAACATTTTAATTTTAAGTTTAAAAAGATATCCTCAAAAGACCTCACTGTTGTGAAATTAAGCAACCTGACATGAGGTTGGTCATTCTGACAAGAAGGCTTTTTGTTTTGTCAGATTGAGGAAATAAAAAGTTAATTTCTCGACTTTGACTGGAGCATTCTGACACATTGATGTGCTTTGATCTGTACCATGCAATTGTAGCTCCAAGGTGATGTTGTCCTGGTAGGTAAACCCATGTCTTGTCAGGTCTCTTGCAAACCTAAATGATTTATTCATGTATCTTCTCATCAGTGCTAACCAACTTTACTGACCTGAGTAGAGGGAGGCATTCTCCCTGCCTTCCAGTGAGGATGCTACTATCAGAGTTATTTTTAGTTAGTTCATCCCAACCCTAAGAGAAATGAAGCTTAAGCGTCAATTCAATCTGGAAGACTCTCATCAGTTCAACCTGAACCACCTGTGATGTCCCGCTCTCAGCTCCAGCTAATCAATTCGTGGGGGGCGAACCTTCTCCGATGCCAATCATCTTGCAACATCCCCTTCATTTAGGTCCTGGCCTAGCTTCTCTCTCCCGCAGGCAAGCAAACTTTCATCTACCTCCTCCCTCACTCTCAGTCCCACTCATCCTCTGGCTTATTCCACCACCAGTGTCCGGACTATGGAGGAACTACTACTACTCTAATTCTTTTCTAGGTTACTCATCCAAGCATATGTTGATTCAGAGTCTGCCGTCACCGGAGCGCCAAAGAACTTATTTCGTTTAGGTCTTCGTCTGCTTCTGTCTCCTTGAACCCCAGTCGGTCTCGGCAGATGGCCGTTCACACTGAGCCTGGTTCTGCTGGAGGTTTCTTCCTGTTAAAAATAGAGTTTTACTCTCCACTGTCGCTACATGCATGCTCAGTGCGAGGGATTGGAGAGAGTCAACGAGTCCTCACAATCCACTGGTTTTCATTAAATAGAACTATTTTGAAGAATATGATTTTGTTACCTGTATAAATTAATTTCATATCTTCTAATTGCAACTTTTCTCTGTGTGAGTCTCTCCAGGTTGATATTAGTTTGGATTTTATTTAGGGGTATCAGAGTGGGTGAAGTTGTAGCTGTAACACGTGGTTCTTCACCCTGCTTTGCTTTGTACCATGTATCTGTGTTCATGTATGCATTAATCCCATCTTTCTCTTTGTTTTCAGTAGGTTCCCAATGCAGCTTTCCTAACCAAGCAACAGCTGGAAGCTGTTAGTCAGACATGTCGTGAGAAAGTAGCTGCACTCTGATTTTTTTTCAACTCATATAAGTCTGTGCGTATCGCTGAGTGTGTGGGTGTGCATAGTTGCAACATGAATGGTCTGTGACCTTGTTATGTACTCTTAATGAAATCCCCCATCACACCACACCCTTCCCAACATCTGTAGCCCACTCTAATATACCAGAGCTGTTAAAGTCTCCAAGTTTCACAAAAACACTGAGCACCATTCAGGTTTTATGGGCAGCTCTAAATCTGTTTCATCATTTTACCTTTTATTTGCTCCTTCATTGTCATCTTACACACATATTTAATACAAAAGTTTTAAACAAAAAAGTCATTTTTTCACAGCCCTGAAATGAATCCTACTCAGTTACTACGTACAACTTCAACATTGATGCCCTCTAGTGTCTATATCGATGCAACGTCTGGGAGAGTGAAAATAAACTCTATCTCACAGGTTTATGCAGAGACTAACAAAATCAACCCTTAGTTTACGTTAGATTTCATAACCTGTTTATAACCTATTATCACTTTGTTCTGTTTTTTTCCAGAATCCCATAGAAGTGAAACTGTAGTATTTAGTTGTTTTTTATAAATATATTATGTTGACAGGGTTCTCACAGTGCTTTGCATTCAACAATAACTTAGCCAATAACGTTTTCATAAAATTAATATGAAGATTTCATTCCTCTGGGCTTCACAGATTCAGGTCTTCTTGTTCCACCAGCAATCCATTGGTGTCCTCGGGATCCTGATAAGATAAAACAATCCAAACCACATTAAATTCAACTGTATGTGATTGATGTGATTTCTTAGGTTTTGCTACTAAATAATAGCTAAAAGTCTCAAAGCAGCTACAATAAATCCATAATTCTTTAAGAAATACTTAAATACATAGTACACGTTGAATTGACATATATAGAAAGGCAGATGAATGAATGTACCTGTCAGGATTTATTATTTCCTTTAAATGTACGTATAACAGATACTGTATAGGAAACTATGACAATGATCCATCTAAAGGTATATTGATGACAAGCTTTATTTAATTACCTATATTTAGAGGTGGGGAATACCTAAAAAATTTACTTAAGTAGTAGCACTAACTTAACCTTTTCTTACTCTAGTAGAAGTTTAAAGTAGCCATCCAAAAAATATTTAAAGTAAGAGTAAAAAAGTACTTGTTAAAATGACAAGTAGGCTACTCCCCCGGGCGCCCCACAATAGCAGCCCACTACTCCCCAAGGTAATGGGTTAAATGCAGAGGTAAATTTCTCTAATATGAGATCAATAAAGTTCAATTATTTTTATAATTATTAATTATTATTATAACATCTGATTTAGTGTTTAAAATCATGCAATCAGACTATAAGTTATCTACAAAAATAACCAAATAACATACTTTAAAAAACAGCAAATTCGAGAAGAAGAAAAAACTGTTTTCTTAAAGAATAATTCTGCATAAACTTCATGCATATAAAGAACTGCTGTATTATGTATATCCACCTGATCTTAATTGGCTTTATTTACTCATGGTGGGTAGAGTAACCAGATATTTTCCCTTAGTAATAGCAGTGAAACTCTCACAAGAATATTACTTGAGTAAAATGTAAATGTACTGTAAGTAAAACTGTCCCTAAAAGATTTTTTTTTTAAGTTACTCAAATAAATGTCATTGAGTAAATATAACAGCTTGCTACCCACCTCTGGTCATATTGAAGTTTTAATAACTTATTCATATAATAGCATTTCTGGAAGAACTACTCAAGATATTCCCAATATCTTGAGATGTGTCTATAATACGTCTACCTCCTGTTTTTTCCTCTTAGTGTGATCTGTTCTGTGAAGCGCACCAGTCCCTCTGCAGTAAAACATCCCCATAGGATGACGCTACCATATTTGTACTTGATAGTTGTCTAAATACAGTGATGGTTGTTTGAGTTATGAAATTAATCTGCAAATCATTCTTGCTTTTTTTCATGACATTTCTTTATTACTAATGACTTCTTCCTCTCTGAGTGGCATTTCGATCCATCAGTAAAGGATTCCCTTTACTGGGTAAAATGACTATTTGCAGCTTCAGACATTATCATTACAAATCATTTTGCATTTAATTCAGGGTTAATAAATCAATTTCTCATAAAAAAGAATTTATCTCTAACATTGAACCTGTCTCCTTCCAGTACCATGTGATTGCTGGAATGTTCTTTGCTTTTTAAACTTCCATCCATTTGAATATAGCATCTTTAGATATAGTAAGCAAGGAAGAATCTGACTTTTGGACGTCTGCAATAATTTCCCTGATAATGTGGCTAATTATTTGGGATTTTCCATAATGTTAAGCTTTTTAGTTTAGATTTTGGAGGCATTGTTTTAAAGTGCAAGTGTGCCTCAAAACAACTAAAGTGTTATTGGAAGCTATAAAAAAAAAAAAAAAACATAGTCAACAACCTTTCCAAAGCACTCATATTAGGCAGAAATAACAAGAAGTTTTCTAATCTCTACAGTTTTAAAGATAAAGACATGCGGTCAGACGTAGATAAAAACAGCTTATAAAGTGTATGAAAATATCTGTGTTCAACTGTAAGTAAATATTTCATGTTAAATGTTTCAATAACCAGCATGTACCTGTGAGATACAGGTGTAGGCCTTCAAATTATGAGAACTGTAGCGGCGCAGGCCTCTCCAGCACAGGAACAGAATGTAGACGGTTCCCAGGAAACACAGAGAGGTGAACACAATGTAGCTCGCCTTCACAACATTGGAACCAGCTCGCTTATCACATAAAGCAGGAAGGTGGCAGGGGATAGGGAATCACATCAACATGTCTTCGTCTTATAATAACCTCACATTTCATCAACCATTAAAAGCAGTTGTGGTGTCTCTAGATGTACCTGCTGGTTTGAATCCAGGGCTTCAGGTTCCACCTTTGCAAGACTATTGGCCAGCAGAGCAGCAAATCCAAAAAGCAGACTGAAAACATTCAGCGCCATAAGAATAATGATCTGTTTGGAGTAAAATAAACAAGTCAAAAGTGTATGTAGACAAAGCTGTGTTAGATATAACCATGTTGTTTACCTTTATGTTATTAGCTTTCCGCTGGACCTCCACTGCCAGGCAACCAGCAGCTATGTACTGTAACATTACCAACACGTAGGTTTAACTTTTCTTTTTGAAGCTAAGAGTACTGAGAGAAATTAGAAAACAGATGCTGACTCACAGATAAGCTTGACCATACAGGAGTTACCATGGTGACCGAACAGTTGTACCTCAAACAGGCATGGCTCACTGTGGTCAGGATGCAAGCCGTGGCGCTGAGGACCTGAATCAACTAAAGAAAAAACAAAGATCAGACCTAATAAAAACGTTTACACACACTAACAACAGGCAGGATATTATGGAGGGTTAAGGTTTTGAAGGACACGTTTGATTTTTCCCGTTTTCAGGGCTTAATGATTTTACACATTTTTTAAAAAGTTAACCTTTATGCCATTTCATGCATTTAATATGTTCCTCTTTTCTCCATTAAAGGTATAGTGGAGGATGCTCTTTTTCCGGGTGGATCATCAAAATAAATGGTCCTCCTTAGTGTCAATCATTCTGGTGATATGTGTATGTAAGTCCGTCCTTCGTGCTTGTTCCCATTTTCACTTACCAGTAGTGAGTTTGACATAGTGGAAAAATTGCAAATCCTGTTTTGGAAAGTAAGCTTGTATGAGAGATGCAAACAGCAAGTTTTAAACAGAGCGTGCACGAGGAGAAATGGGCGGGAATTGGCGAGGGCAGGTCTTTTCAAAAATTTTTACAAATTTTTGAAAAGACCTTGAAAAGACCTAAAACAAAACAGCTATTTATGTGATGTCGTCTTTCATGTCACCATCCATTTAAACCAGACTGTCGCCCGAAAAGAAGAGAAAAGTGGTCAGAAGACAAGCTTAACCTGGACTGACAGGGTGTTGATTGAGGCAAGAGCCCAAAAATTCCAACATGTGGACATTCAAGCTTCTCTACAATTAGATTTCTGGCAAATATTTTCACATTAGGGCGAGACACAATCAAGGTATTTGGCAACAAGACTTAGTTGTATACAGGAACTCACTTATGCCGACTGTGAAGCACAGTGGTAGCTTTATGCTCAGACCTTATCTGCTACTGGTGCGCTCCACAGAGTCGATAAAATGAAGATCAATAATCACTAAATGTAACCAAATAAAATATTTTTTTTAAGCTTACTTTCAAAACGATGACTAGATTGACAAAAGCAGGACGACAATGATCCAAAAGGACAGGTTTTTTTTTATTAAGCTGAAGCAGGTTACCCATACTTTTTACTAAAATGAAAAAATACATTTTTTCAAAGTAAATATGTACCTGGGGACTGGCTAGTGCAAATACAGTCAACCTTTCCTAATAAGATGACTGGATCTTGTTGAATGCTACAAATCTGTCTGGTCTGTCCGCAACTATCTGAGCAGCTTTTATTTAGATTTTATTACTGAATGAGACTCGTCGAGATTTTCAAAAATTGAAATTGACTTTAAATTACACACAAAGCTCTTGTCTAAAAAGCATAGAACATATTTATCATTGTTCCAATACATCTTTAAACCTCTAAATTAATATTATTATTTATGTGGAGTGTAGATGAACAGTCGCTGTGGTTTGGATGAGCTGAGGAAAGCAGCATCTTACCCCAGTCAGTAAAAGCCTTGTGTTTACCACCGTCCCAAACCAACGATGAATCCTAACATTTGTTAGCTCCTCATTACTGGTGTCACTGGTCTGGGTGGTGGGGCTGGGCGGAGGTGTGTCCTTAAAAAAAACTTGGTACAGCCCCTCTTGAAACATGTTCTGCCTCATCTGTAGTGGAGTAAAAAGGTTTTAGGAGCTTCAAATAAGCATAACTGAACAGACTGACATTCTTTAAGGAAAGAAAATACGTATTTCGCACATAATTAATCTTGTTTACTTCTTACCTTTGCTGGAAGTTGTTCTCTTTTACCTATTTTACCCACAGGTTCTCATGTCCACATAAACTGATTAAGACTTTTTCACATTTTTTCTGTAACTATTTAGAATGGCAGAGTACTGTGGAGCTGTGCTGTCAAAGTTCAACTGAGTTGGAAGATAATGAATGACTAAAGTTCATTCTTAAGACAGAGGTTGAGGGAAAACATTGGCCAGGAATCAGGCACGTCATCAGCCTGGAAGGAGGGATTTACGCAGTCATGCCTGAAAGGAGAGATTTACGCAGCCATGCTTTAATTTTCAGAGCTTTCCCCCCCCCCTCCACATCCAAATTTAAAATGTGAAAACAAAAAAAAAGAAAGATAAAACAACAATATATACTGTATTGTTAAAAAATAGTAGATGTATCATCCTGTGAACCTATTAAAATCTTATAGGCCAATGCAGTCAAATCGGTTTGTAGTTTTTTTTTTGGACCCACATGTAGAATTAAGGAGAACCATTGAGTTTTAATGGTTTATTTACAAAAGCAAACAAGAATCTGGAAACTGAGAACTGCAGGGAGGTACTGTAGTTAAACTTTCTGGTTGGTCTGAGGGGAGAAAGCAGATTGATCTGGAAGTAGGTGGCTTATTTGATTACTTGATGGATGAAGGGGAGGTAACATAGATCTGTCGAGAGGGTAGACAGGTGATGGAGACTGAGGACTGCTGCATGCAGGTGAAACCGGACTGAGGTTCAATGCGTGTCATCATTGGTAATCATCCGGCAAAGAGAGATGATCCTTTGCCTCCTTATATACACGCTTACCATCTTGATTGAGAAATGGTCTATGGTTTGCAGCAACAAAGGTTGGTCAAGCCACTAGCAAAGATCCTATCTATGACAGGAAGCTCATTCACACCAGAAAAACAGCAAAACCCCAGAGACCCTAACAAATGTATTAAATGAAAAACAGTATAAATAGAATTTAAATTCCCCATTTCAACTTATGCGTGAGAAGTTATTTTTTCTTTAAAAATAAGATTTAAGATGCTAAAATGTAGGAACAAACTTGTATTGTGAGACAAAGAGATTTACAGTAAACACAGTTACAGTGCCTTGCAAATATAGTCATACTATTCGCAACTTTTCCCCGTTTTGTCATATCAAAGCTGCAAATGTAAATGTACTTTATTGGGCGTAATTATGTAAAAGATCAATACAAGATACAATATGTGTTTGTAAGCCTTGATTGATTAGGATTAATCCTATAACTGCATTACCATGTTTGTCCTAACAGGATGTAATGCAAAAGTTCCAGAGAGAACCAGCCAGAGTTTACCTTTAAATTTGAGGGGAAATAGGAGGCCTTCCCATCTCAAAGAGTTGGAGCTCATCACCAAATATAAATTGTCAAAACATCAGAAGAAACATGCAAATAAAATTAAAAAAAACTCAGCAATTATTAGAGTAATTTGGTTTCAGTAATGTCAATAGATATCCTTTCATTCCAAAAAATTCTTGTTTTTTCTACTTTTTATATTTTGAGAAACGTATCAAATATGCCTTAGCATGAAATGCATTTTATTGGGCCAATTTAAAACCATTTCAAAAGACTAGACCTAAATTCAGTTGACACTCTGTGAGAAGACTTAATATCTGATGCTCACAGGCTATCCTGTCTGTTATGGAAAATTAGTTCTCTAATTGTGAAAGGCTTGTTGAAAATCACCTGAAAAGACTTGCGGCAATAGCAATAGGTGGTTGGAAGTGTTCATATCGTAAGGAGGAATTTTAATACATGCAATTTGAATTTGTAAAAAAAAAATGAAGAAAATAAAGAACCTCAGGCTTTTTTTGTGCAGTTGGTCCAATTAAAAATAAAAGTTTAGAGCCACAAAAGTTACAGAAACAAAGAGAAGAATTCTAAAGGTTTTAATGCAGGACATCTGCTTGGCATTTTTTTTAATCTAAAGAAAATGTTTGCAAAAAGGGAACAAATATATTTTTAATGGAATGTTTTATTGGAAATTATTTTTGAAAAAGTACATAGCTTGCAAGCAAAAAAACACCCAAAAAATTAAGGAGAAAAGAAAATATTCCTGGAATTATCAGTGTCCTTCTTTGCAAAAATATTATTGCATGAAAACACCTAGGAAGAAAATGTAAAAGCAAAGTATTCTGGGCTATTTTTGCCTTTAAATATTAAAAGTTCTCCTAAATATTTTTCATTTTTAGACAAAGTTAAAGTTGCAGACAGCAGGTCTTTGCAAAAACATGAAACCTACCTAAAATACATAGAAATTTGAAGATATACTGTAGTAAAATTTGAATAGGTCCTCTTGATGATACTTTCCTAAGGTCCTGTAGATTATCACATTACAGCTTATGAGCACAAATCAAATATGAAAAACAAAGTGATAATAAAAGGTTATCAAAAACAAGCAAACACAATTGTTATCTAATCTGCTCTTTTAGTTTAAGAGTTTAATTTTTAAATTTACAAAAAGATAATATAAAGACAAAATACAGCATCTGCAAAAACTAAACAAACATAAAATAAAAGGCCAGAGATGATTGTTAGACGTTTAGATGATCCCCAGACATGTTTGACTTTTTTAAACCCATTCTGTTTTTCCTGGCAGTGTTTGGTCGTCATCATCTTCCTCCTCTATGCCCCCAGTGTACAGGTCTGTCAGTCTGCTGAAGCGTGGCCCCCACTGAGCCAAGCTCTGGAAGTCCTGCTCCTCATCTGAGTCTGAGGACTGAATGGAGCTGAGAGAATCCGCCTCAGAGCCTCCACCCTCATAGTCAAACACAAGGAGAGAATCATAGGGAGGAGCTGTGGGATCACCGTTGGCAGCTTGCAGGTTCTGGACAAAAGAAACAGGAGATAAACGTTTAGGAGGCTTTTAGGATTCTTTGTGAGCAACACAGCAACTCTACTGTCTTGGATTTCTCACGTATTCAATAAATTTTCCGATTTCCTCATTGGCTTGGATCTGTAAACGATATTGCGGTCGAGTCTGGATAGTAGGAAAAACATCCGTACTGAAGACCTCAGGTCGATGGTCCAGGCCTCTGTGCAACTGTGACAGATCATACTCCTAAAAAAAAATAAATAAATAAAACACCGGGCAGCTGTTATTCTACATCTGCAGACCGACTTTTTGAACATTTGAACCAGTTTATTTTTATTTTTCCTTTTTTTTTTACTGTAAAAGTTGATCAACAAATTAGCAGAACTGTAGTTTTTAGTCATTCGAACTTTGACACAAGAGAGAAAAAAGCAGCTCAGTCTCTTGTGGTTCATTTGCTGAGAAAATGTTTGTTAAAAGGAACTAAGTGTTATAGTTCAGTTCTCTTAGATTTTATCTCCTTTCTTTTAAGGCAAAGTTTGTTTAGAACTGCCATTGACCATCAAAGTTAAATTGTTAACTGAAGTAGCAGTACTTTGAGTTTGTGGTCCAGCTGTTTTATTTGCTTTACTGCCTGCTTTTATCATGATTTTAAGTTGACTTTTATTCTGCTTTTATTTTCCTTCCATTTTACTGTTTAATTTATGAGAAGCACTTTGAATTATCTTTCGACCGAATTGTGCTATAAAGGTAATCTTGCCTTGAGTTCCAGTCACTTCAAGGCAAATAAAAGTAATGACTTAGATAAGAATAGGTCATAATTTTTATTGGACAAAAAAGTACGTGAGTTCATATAACTAAAAACTTGAAACAATGAAACAAAACCTACTAGGATTACATAGAATTTAAACATTTTATCAAAAAAGGAAAAAGGATTTTATTTAAAAAAAAATGGTATCATTTATCTGAAAAAAATGGAGCTGAGTTTAGGATTGAGCTGACAAAATTCTCTGTCAGACATGGGCAACGTTACATATTTATTTTTATCGGTTATAATCATAACTTTTATGTTGAAAAAGTTTTGTGGACAAGCTGTTTTCAAAATATTTTTGAGTAGAGAGAGCAAACATTGTTCAGAAATGTATTTCCATAAATGTTTTCAACTAAAAAAAAATCAATGTATGCATGTCAGATATTAGTTTGTGCATATCATTTTGTTTGTGTTTTATAAACACAGAATTCAACGCTCAATGACTGTCATTTCTGTCATAGGAAATAAATATTCCCTATTGATATGACAAAGATATAAATGCTCAAAAAGCACAAAACACTTTTTTAAGTACCGACCTAAATACTGTTCCTTGAGATTAGGGTCATGTGACCTACTTATGGTGTACTCATTACTTTTATGTTACCTTTCTGCACTAAAAAAAAGCTTTTGCTTTCAAAGTTCCAGAAATATTTAAGTAAGTCGAGCAAGCAAACTGGGATTTAAAGCGGACTTTATAAAAAAGTAAACAAATAGGTATGAGTCCTCTTCTGCTTCCTCTCCTCTTACCTTGTCGTCTTCACCTCCTCCCTCCTCGCTGTAGCAGAAGATGTCATCACGTTCCAACTCAAGAAGAGGCTCCTTCTTTCCTCCATCCCTCCTTTTTCTCAACAGCAACAGAAGTATCAGGAGCAGCACTACAATCAGTTTTAAAGTAAGCGACAGAAGACAACTGAGATCATTTTAAGATGACCTGATTACCTACATAGAACACCAAAAACAGTCCCTAGAAGAGGAGTTGCAAAAGAGGGAATGCTTGAACGTCTGTCATCGAGTGGCATGAAGCAGGCATCCACCACTCCTTGACAGTGGCACACCTCTACGGCCACCCTACTGTCTTGGAAGTGCATTTCAACATCATAAACCCTCATGAGAACGTTATAGTCTCCAGGAGGTAGGTCTCGTTTGGGGTAAAGAGATACAACATGGCCTGAAAAAAAAAGCAGAATTTAAACTTTGTAATACAGGAATTCACTTCGGATGAGCAAAAGCCGGTAGATTGCAGAGTTGATCATTTATTTTCTTGAACATAACACTTTACTTGTGTGATTGATTTTAACAGTCCAGTTCGTTTTATGCCCTGCTATAAGCTCCACAGTAAACGGTCCAGCATGACCCGGTCCATCCAGGTCCACTATATCCAGGAGTGCAGGCAAAGGGTCAGTGTTGCACAGAATTGCTTTCCTCTGCTTGATGACAGGGAAATGGTCATTCACATCCAACAAGCTCACCACCAGAGTACCAGTTCCTGTAGCTGGAATTATATCTGAAAGACACAAGAAGACAGGAATTGTTTTTCATTCAGGTAAGCTTGCACATAAACAAAGACACTGTAATGTTCATCAGAAGTAATAGTCAAATTTGAACTATACCATCATCATATGCCAAAATTAAAACGGTATATTTGTTGTCTATGACGTATCGCGACTCTCTGTCCATGCTTCTTGCAATTTGGACCAATCCAGTGCTGGAGTTGTTGCTCAGCCACCTGGCAGTGTCATTTAAGAGTTTGTATCTGAAAGCAAAAGAAAACAGAAAAGAAAACAAGAAAAAAAAATTATCATTTAAACTCGACAGAAATTATTACTAACTACAAGTATATAAAACTAATAAATGTGGAAATACTTTATCTCTGCTCTGTTCCACTCTGTGGAGTAAGCAGATACCCCAAGTTTCACTTTCATTCGTTACAGTTGTTATCATGTCTATTAATTCCTGCCTCTCTCTGTCAGTCTTCAGCAGATTGTCTCCTGCTGGCCTGATATTTCAATTTAATTCAGTTTATTTATATAGCGCCAGTTCACAACACGTCATATCAAGGCACTTTACAATTCAACCAGTTCATACAGTCAAATTGATTCAGTTTTCTATCTAAGGAAGACCAACTGATTGCATCGACTAATTGACTCGAAGGCAATCCCTCAGACTAAACATGCTTGTAGCGACAGTGGAGAGGAAAAACGGGAAGAAACCTTTTTTTCTTTTTTTCTTAAAATAAGCATATTTGTTCTTGGATTGAGGAGGTAAAATAGACATTTTGCAAATGGAACAAGACAATTTACAATTAAAATAAGAAAACACACCTGCATTGCCCTTTTTCAAGTGCATATTATATAATTATTATTATTTTAAGAGTAAATATTCTCATTCCATTGGTAAACTATCTAATTTACCTACTTAAATTAAGGGTAAATAAACTTAATTTAAGAAATTTTTACTTATTTCTAGAGTTCCAGATTTCTAGTTTTTCCAGTGTAGCAGAACCACACCATCTGCCGAGGCCGACTGAGGTTCATGGAGACAGAAGCAAGGACAAGGATCACTATAAGGATCACTCTAGTGTCACAGTGCACCATCAGACTTCCTGCCTTCCTGTGCTCGGCCTGCCCTCACTGGATTCTAATCGGCCTCTGACCCTGGTCACAATCTGGACTGCCTCCTCAGAGGTGGTTGTCAGTCTCTCAGCCACCATGTGTTTGCTCAAAGCCTGCTTTCAGTCTGTTTAGTGATTTTCCGCCTGCTGAAGTTTAGAGTCAGCCTTTTCTTACTGTCACCGGCTCAAACAGTCCTTACCTACCTGCATTCAAGATAATCTTCATCATTCTACTAGCAGGATTTTTGTTACAGTTATTTGCTGTCAGCTATTCTTCTCTTAGATTCACATGCCTCTATTATTTCTTAAACGTATCTGGTATCTACAATCTGTCTGTTGTTGAACCATCACAGGCATAAACTATTGTAATAGGCTCACAAAAATAACTTCCTTTTATCTCTACCTTTTTTAATCTTACAACACACGTTACCTCATACAGTTACCTTGAAAATATGGAACTAATTTATGAAAAATTTTGTGGTCAAGAGGATCCTGAGCAATCTACACCGGGTTCAGAAAATACGTACGGACTTTCAAAAATTCCCACATATTGTCAGACATGCTCAAATGGTAATAGAATGGCATTTTCCTAGTTTGTTTCTTTTAAACAAAAAAAAGCATAAAAAAACTCATAATCTTGTTTGACACGTCTTGATGGGTTAAATGATAGGCTTTTATTCCAGTTCCCAATTTTTAAAGATTAAAATCAACAAAATGTTCCCATTTAAATTGTTGTGGCATCATAAAGTCACCTGTGGGAGAACGGTTTGTGTTTGAATTACCTTACTTGCTGTTTTCTGGCTGTGTCTGGGTCCTTAGCTTTGAGTTCGACCACAGAAGTGTCAGTTTTCATGTCCTCCGAGAGTGTTACCTGCACCTCAGCTGGGCTGAAAACAGGAGCCTCGTTCCTGTCAATGACATTCACTGTGACGGTGGCTGTTGCAGTGGGGACAGGGAGAGAAAATGGTGCCTCATTTGTCACCACCACCAACAGCTTGTAAACAGATAGTCCCTCAAAATCCAGCTCCTTGGAAATAAAGAGCGAAAAATAAATAGATATGATGTTTGAAAGACGCTTTATGAAAACTTGAAGGGTATGTTTGAACCTTGGCAGTAGTGATTATTCCCTCCATCTTATTTGGGCCAACAGTGATGTTAAAGGCTCCACCTTCATTGCCTTTGATGATGGAGTATTTGGTGTTGGAATTTGGAGATCCTGCCTCATCCATGTCAGTGACCTTCAGCCTTGCTACCTCCACTCCTATTGCGTTTTCATAGACTGATGTGGTCATCTGAGGAAAGGCAAACAACTCTCCAAATTTTCATTCAACAACTAAACTAATCAGTTTTTTCCTAGTTTTTTTTTTTTGTGCCACTCACAGATGATTCGGTAAATTTTGGAGCATTATCGTTGCTGTCAGTGATGATAATGACAGCAGTGCAGGTTGCAGTCCGCCCTTCCCCCTCCATATCTGCAGCTTGTATGATCAGCTTGTATTCTGGGTGAGTCTGGAGGAATATTGTAGGCTTACAATAAAGTTTGGGGGAAAATGAAGGCAAGATGCTCACATAGACAGTTGTTTCACCTCTCTGTCTAGTCCTCCCTCCTTCAGACGGACCACTCCACTCACTGCATTTATGGCAAACATTTCCTCTTTGGGCATTGTAGGCGTTTGAGATTTTATTCGATATCTAATTATGGCATTTTTTGTTGTTGGATCATCCTTATCTTCTGCTGTTACCTTTAAGACAGGTTCATCTGTTGAAGAAGCACAGTTTCATTTCTCTAAATGAACATTCATGGTTATGATATCTGAGTTTTCCGTATCGTTTCCTCACCAACGTCAGCACTTTCGCTCACTCTGCCAGTGAGGACGCTTGTGTTGAATTCTGGGGAGTTGTCATTTTGGTCAATAACATTGATGATGAGCTCCATGGGCTGCTCTGCATTCTCTTTCTCTAACAAGGCATGAGCCCAGAGCTGTAAAAGAATAAGTCCACAAGGATTTCATCTGCTCAGTGTCACCAGTCTTGCATGAGAAATTATAAAACATGAGATGAATGTTTGTGACTTACTTTGTATCTGGCTTTTTTCTCCCTGTCGAGTGCCTGGGTCACATACATCGCACCAGACCGTTCATCAATGGTAAAGATACCCTCAGGGGGCTCATCTGCTCCCGGGCCGGTGATCTTATAAGTTATGGCTACTTTTCTGGCTTTGCTGGACTTGATCTATTTAAAAAAAAAAAAGCCTAATAAACATTGAAAGAGGCCTGTAACAAAACAAGTGCATTGATGGCAGTTAGGTTTGCAAGCGAACCCTTTTACCTCCACCATATATTTGGGGTATGGACCCCGGTCATTTTCTGCAAAGTTTATGTGAGGAATAACCCACTCCCTCTTCATCCGGTTCAGACCGCCTGCAATCAGTGGACGCCACGACAGCTGGAGAAAGGGGACAGCCTCCTCCTGTGTGAATCAGCATTCTGTTACACTACTGCATTAGATCCATTTTTGTGGCGAGAAAAGAAATGCTTTTAAATATACCTGAAGGTAGCTCCCATCTGGAATCCCTGGATTAGTATGATTGTGAATCTTGCCCAAGGACCCCAGTAGTGTCTTTGCAGTCACTAGAGAATCCAAACTCTGTGGAGCAAACATTTCACAGTTATGTGGGCAGATAGATGGATCAGTGAGTTGGTTACTCTGGAAACCTCTGATCTACAGTTTTGTCTGAGTTTGGATATGGATTCCTAGGTGTGTTTGTTCTCAAGCATCTTTTATGTCTGTTCTGCTAGTTCATTTATTTGTGATAATAATCTGTTTAATCTGGTGTTGTATTTAATTTTATTTATCATTCTTTTTGTGGAGTCCTCCCTGTACTTCTGTTCCTGTTTATTTCTCTCATCCAACAGCCTCTCCTGCTTTCATTTATCTCACCTGATTGTTCCCACCTGTTTGGTTGTAATTTCTTCAGCTCGGCCTCAGTATATAAACTACTGTTATTTTACTGCTCTCTAATAGATCCTTCTGTTACAGAGCTTGTTTCTTTCAGCGCTGTTAAACCCAGTTCTCTGGTTTTTTTTGTATTTCCACTGTTATACCATTTCATGTCATTATGTTGCCTGTTAAACGGTTACTTCTGAACTGTCTCAGGGACTGAATTATCCCTGCTGCCTCTGCTCTGTGGTCACATTTTTCCTTCCTCTAGACTTTTAGTTGATGTGTTTTGTTACAGAGCGCTGTGAACGTCCAGCATTCATAGCAGTGACCTAATGTGGCTTAAACTGCTTTTTGGTGGGTGTCAATAACTGCCGAGGGGAAAAAAATGGGAGATCTTGACATCTGGCCATGTTGGTTTAAAAAGCTTTTTTCCTAAATACATTCAATGCTATTTGAAAAAGTAAATTTTTGTTTCCCCCGGATTTCTTAGTGCCATATTAAAACAGAAAGATTGTAAGATAGCAGATAGGGTGAATTAATTATACAAAGAGGCAACTACTTTTTCAAGGCAAAAAAAGTAGTTCTAACGGGGAAAGTATTATTAAATAGTAATTAAGATTTTGTAATTTAAACAGAACGACCCTTAAGAAATACTTATTAAAAACAAAAGTAAACCAAATGAAAAAAACTTACCTGAAGTAGACAGAGTGTAAGGATCCCTCTAAAAATCCTTCTTTTAGTTAAGTCTTTCATTTCTTCACCAGGCTGTTGTGCTGTTACTGTAGAATCAAACTGCATGCAGCTGCACCACCCCTGTGTTTACTGTTTAACAGCAGAAATGCTGAGTTTCAAGGTGTCTTCATAAGGGACGAAACGGTTGAAAACAGAAGTGATGGATGCCGGTTGTGCTGCAGAGGTCTGGTTCTCGATGCAGTGCTTTCCTCTTACAGTAACTTTTCCAAAACATATCTTTCTCAAAGATGCTTATAAGAAAGAAAAAAAAAAACACTTTCACATAAAGTGTTTTAGTGACAGTAATAAACTAAATTGATATTTACCATTTATTATTTGCAAAATAATCAGACTAGTCTGGATGAACTTCCAACACTGAGGACAAACACTGATGTTTACAAAACAGTGAAGGATTGGCTCCCATGACTCTCATCTGTTAACATACGTTAGTAGTTTATTGTGACAACTTTGAAAAGACTCCTCTGTCCAGCCTGAAATATCAGAGCATGGAGGCAACAATATATAATAAAAACAACATGGTTTTTCTGTCACTTCTTTATTTACAAAGTATTCTTCTTTCCCATTGGGGCATGAACATCTAAAACATCTAAAGTTGATTAGATCAAAATTTTATTAGAAATTTAAACGTAAACATCTTAGATTACATAAATATAAAGTGAACAAGGAAAAAAAGGCAAAGTTGGATTATCTGTGCAGGACATAGAAAGGAATACTGACAAAGGTCAAAGTGCATCAGTCTGAATCATCACATTAACAAACAATGTTGCTTTTCTAACGTGAAACTATTTTCTCCAAAAATAGGTTCATGAGGAATTCACATATTCAACCGAGATTAAAGGTAATTAACAGTATTTTCTCTCTACCTGCACAATGGGGTCTCCTGCACTGTCAGGACCAGAAGCAAGTAGCACATATATGTTGCCGGATTTTATTAGAAGACAATTTTTTTTCTTTGCGGGGTAAGTGTGCACTTAAATCTGCCTTTTCCCTACTTTCCCAAACCAAAGACCTAGAAAATCACATTTTATCACATAATTTATGGATTATTTTTTTTTACTTATTACAGCATGATGTGTCTCTTACAGAAGCATGTTTCAATTGTGACTCCCGCTGGAACTTCGCCAAAAGTTAAACGCTGCATGTCTCACTGCGAAATCTGCTGTTTCGACAATAAAAAACACTTACAATAAAACAAAATATAAAGAAATTTTAAAGTTTGTTCTGTATCTATTGTTTTCTCCGGTATCATGGAAAAACAACAGAAGCTTCTGGGATTTCAGTAATCCACTGTGAGAACACGAAGCAAAGTTAATTTGAAAGCACACACCCTCCATTTGCAAATCTGTGGCCCAAAACCAAATGTAAGAACACAGCACAAACAATAATAAAGAATATATAATATTATACTTGCAAACACACAACAGATGTCTTAATAAAATTAGTGTGTTAATTTGGTTATTTTTATATTTTGTTGTGTGTATATATATATATATATATATATATATATATATATATATATATATATATATATATATATATATATATATATATATAATGTCTATTCAATTAAAGACATGAATAGACAAACATATTTCTATTATGAAGACCCAGAAATATTTCCTGCATAATAGCTTTATTTTACTTTGAAAGGCTTCAAATAAACTTCCGGTTCTAACAGTGCAGGGTCCTGACAGCGCAGGGTCCCTCACAGCGCAGGGTCCCCCCTCACAGCGCAGGATCCCTCACAGTGCAGGGTCCTGACAATGCAGGGTCCTGACAATGCAGGGTCCCTGACAGTGCAAGTCTGCAGCTAGACTCTCTTGTTTTTTCTAAGGTAACAGCTGAACATGATATAACATTGAAAAAGATCGTATCACTTCATTTGTAAAACAGTTTATGTACTTTGGCCAGAACATCGGCCTTCGTAAAATACTGACTGAACGTGACCAAGCGTAATTCTGTGGAGGTTTCTCTCAGTCTGCTAACTGTGTTGGGGTCTAGCTAGATCGTAGTTCAAATACACCACAGTAACCGTGATATCGTCTCTATACATTCTGGCTAGGTCCTCTGGCAAGGCCAGCATTGAGGCCAGCCTCTCCTGTGACAGCTCCCCATACTCCCCAGTTCCAAGAGCGTGCCGGATGAGATGAGTGGCAGCGTTGGTATCTAGTGCTGGAGAGGCACGGGCGCGGCGCTTTAATAAGAGTTCATGCATCTGACCCAGCTTCAGCTTCCTCTCTGTGGGGGAAACTGGTGCCTAAACAAAAAGAGGTAGAAGAATTAAGAATACTTAAAAAAAAGTCAAATTCATGCATTAATGAAGAAATGTGAAACAAAGTAAATGTAAAGTCTTTGATTACAATCTGCCACAAACAGCTGAATTTAGCAACATTTCCCGGTGTTATTAGGCTGATTTCCTGAAAATCTTCCCGCTGTAATATACAGCCCTATTAATGACAGTTAAGCTGATTTTCAATCTTATAGTTCTGCTATCAAAAACATGAAATTCTGTATTTTTAGCATTACGTTGGAGGAAATTGTGACCATCCACTAGTTTTTTTTTCCGCTAAAAACCTAAATACAATAATTTGATAAAGAGCTAATAAAAAAAAAATCCAGTTTTTTATTTTTCTTTGAGCTATATAATAATTAATTAATTAATTAATATGCAGCAATAGTTGTGAGGTTAGGATGTTAAAATTCAGCCAATCAAACAATATTTAGTAGAGGCTTGTCTCCCTCTAAATACTAAAAACCCACCGACATCTGGTTTGGAAAATAAACATAAAACTAGTTTTAGGGTAAGGATAATTAAATAGGGAATTTTTTTAAATGTAGGGAAAAATCCTAGCATTCGTGTGGTTTAAAAAAAAAAAAAAAACGATGGTAGATGCCATCAGATCCCACTGCAGCTATTAGACAGAGCCAGTGCTGATCACTTTTTGGGAAATTATTGATCTCACTTCAGCTGGAAGACTCCAGAAATAAAAAAAGTAAAAAACCCCACTGGACTTTGCTTTCGAAGTTTAAAGACGTTTCACTTACCATATTTTTTTTGAGTACAACCAACAGCAGATGTAATATCAAGTCCATCACATTGAATTGAAAAAGCTTCCTGGATGGAAAGCAAAACGCAAACTTGGAAAACTAAGCCCAGAGGTTTGTTTTTTTTTACTTTTTTTGGAATGACTATGACCTGGATGACTGATTGCTTTAGATACTGGCGAGGGCTGCACTCAAACTCAAGAGGATTATTAGTTTCTTCTAGTTTTATTTTAAAACAGAAAATCAAAGAATGAACCCATACATGGAATTCAAAGCTTTTGGTTTGTCTTATTTAGTTTTAAATCTATTTACAAGTTAAAAGAGCAACAGAAATTGATAATTAAAATGAGACTGATGTATCTGGAACCAAAATGTTTTCTTATGAAAATGTATTTGCTCCTTACAGTCCTATTTTCTTACTCGAAACTGTTTCATATCATTAAAGAAATTTTTAATGTTACAAATGTAATCTAAGCAAGTTAAAAAATTGTTTCGATTTGGCCACCAGTCGACCCCCATGTGGAACCTTACTGGTGAGCCAGCCTCTCCTGGACTGGTTTCAGTTTCACTTTGGTTTGCTGGAGTCCTAAAACCTTAGAAATTGTTCAATAAATGGCCAGGCTGGTTTAGCGGCTGTCTCTAAATAATTTATACCTTTTTATAGCATTATTTACAACTAGACTGTACTGGAATTATTTTATAATTTTAAAACTGGACCACACTGAATGCTGGAT